CGCGAAGGTGACTTCCTTATCAGCTGAATTGATAGCCTAATCCGCCAAAAAGATTTCTGAAAGGTATAGAAGGTTTCTGAGACTGAACTCGTTGTGGGGCAGTGTGAGAAAATATGCACTTGGTCAACTACATGTGTAGGTGACATTTGTGAAAATTTTGTGAGAAAAATCGGGGAAATTCTGTAGACTTGTAGCTCCTAGACTCAGCTGAGGAAAGCGAACATATATTTCAACACTGTTGTTAGGCATGGTTTTCGACTGGGGAAAAGTTCCTTATATACGAGCTGGTTACTGTCCACCCTCGGTAACTGAACAAGTGGACACGAGGAAAAAGCTAGCAGAGGCTATCATATACGATACAGGTAATGGAGTTTCGAGACCCTAGTGATATGAAAAACAGTAGTGAGAAATCTATTTTGGAAACGAATGCATAGCATTGACGAAGTATTATGCCACTTGACGTTTTCTGATGACCGAAAGAGAGCGATCCCTCGCCGCTCACTTCATATTGTGTAGCTGTGATGAGCTCCACATTTTCGAACTCGCATCCTAACAGCCATCACTGTCGAGCAACTGAGCTCGATTTGCCTTTGATATTGTTATGAAGTGTAGGTTGTAGTATTCATTTCGCTGGGGAGGCTGCGAACCCGGAGTGCTATATGACGGCGCATGGTAAGAGATGTGGAGGGTGTGGTATTACTACTGCCAGTGTTGGTGGAATATATGTTTGCATTTCGTAGTGATAATTGAAATTTATATATAAATGTAGAGAAATTAATGGAGTTTCAAGAACAGTAGTGAAAGTTTATATATTTTACGACTACTGCAGTATACCGCGAATATCGCGTTTTTCACCGAGTTTTACGACGCCACTTCACGTGAAACTCCTGTTAGGATTTGATAACTCCATAAGACCTATCAACTAATGAGCAATACAGTAATCATAAAGTATACGCTAGGCTAGCAAGGGGGACAAGTATCACAAGGAAACTACGGGAGACACTTGTGTGCAACAGTACCAATGATAATTTCCCTCCCAAATGGTATCATATTGTCACCAACACATGTGCATATTTCCTCTTCACAGTGTTGACATATCTAATGTGAAATGGAAATGGCGATATTATGAAAGTAATACCAATACATTTAGAGAATTCGTGAATGAAAATTTACGAATGTGAACTTATGAGTTTATAAAGAGCGAACTGCCCGTAGTATTATTGGAGTTGCACGTGAACCCGTTTTACGTGAAGTGGCGTCGTAAAACTCGGTGAAAAACGCGATATTCGCGGCCTGTAGTAGTCGTAAAATATGTTTTTCATATCACTAGGGTGGTGAAACTCAATTGATACTTATGTAGTTTACTACGTGCTCATTTTTCCTCCCACATAGAGTAATGTTTTAGGTGCTATGGATTCGGGCGCACGAGCAGCTGAGGAGGTGGTGAAGTTGTTAAATGGTGAGGAATGTTGGAATATTTGTTTGCCAGGAGTTTACCAGCTAATTATAGAAGTTTACATACAAATTTGGGTAGAAGTGTAGAGAAACCAATAAGAATTTCCTCAAATTTTTTCCTCAGAATTTTCACAAATGTCACCAACACATGTAGTTGACCATGTGCATATTCTCCTACAGTGGAGTGTAGTATTAGAGTTTCACCCTAGTGATATGAGAAAACAGAAGTGGAATAAATAGTTCACATTTTACTCGGCTGAAAACAGTAGTCTTTTCTCACGTCGTAAATTTACATGGAAAATTACACCACTTCACGTGAAACATGTGAAACTTCAACATTGCAGTTTCACGACCCGTTTTACGGTGAGAAACTCGACATTCACACTATGCAGTAGCCGTGAAATATGTTTTTCACTAGTGTTTTTCATATAACTAGGGTGGTGAAACTTCATTGAAAATCGGTATAGTTTTTTGCTGCTCAGGAAGCACTCAAGCTGCATCGAAAGCGTTGTCTAGTAAACTGTGATGGACATAATATAGGGTATCGTTCTTACCACTACTTCTACTGCTCGTCGTTGATGTTACTCACTGTTTCTCGCATAGTAGAGATGTGGAGTTACTGAGAATGGTAGGAGTTTCTATTGGAGGGTATCAGCTTTCCGTTTGAGGCTGCGTCGGTACATGAAGTGATGCCACTTATTATGTCGCCTGGGTTCTCGGCCGACTTTGAAATTTGCATTCCAGGTCTTTTTAATAGAGTTTCATCACCCTAGTGATATGAAAAACAGTAGTGAAAAATATATTTCACGACTACTGCATATCACCGCG